GTGACTTTATGTTGCCATGGGCCTAATTTCAATTATCCTATGTCAGGGGATTTAGAATAGAATAGAATAGAATAGAATAGAATAGAATAGAATAGAATAGAATAGAGTAATACTTTATTGATCCCCCATAGGGGGGAATTTAAACGCCTCAGCAGCATCCAAAAATACAGAAAGTACATGAAAATAACAATAATTCAGTAATGTGCATCCTGGTGTCGGCACACAGCAGGTCCAAGGCTCCACCTTCTCCAGTTGGACAGTCCACATACTGGCTGAATGTGGGCAGAGTGGTAGAGAACGATGTATGATTAAAGTCTCCTGAGATGATGATCAGACACTGAGGGTGTGATGTTTGCAGCTGGACACTGAACTCTGGATGAGTTCACAGGCTGCAGCAGCATCAGCCGAGGGGGGATGTAAACTGTAATCACCAGGACGTGTGAAAACTCCCTCGGCAGGTAAAACGGCCGCAAACCAACCGCCAGCAGGTCAACATCCTTCATGCAGCGCTGCTCTTGAACGCTAACGTGCTAGCATTACACCATCTCTCATTCATTTTGAGGCACTCTAACAGTCACTATGAAGAAGATGCAGGCAGATTTCCTCATGTGCTCTGCTGGTGACTCTACATCCTGCCTTTCCTAAAGTAAGATGATGTTCAGACTCCCAGATACAATACATTATGTGATGATAAAATCTTTTTATGAAACTCAAATTTGCATGATCTCTTATATGAGATAGGACTAAAACAGCGTGTTATGCATGTGATTGACACGCAGTCACAGCATGATCAGGAAATGAGTGCAGGGAAAGGCATGAAAGTACCCACTGTTTTAAAGTCTGCAGATGTAGGAGGCGAGAAGAAAGGGCATGCAAGGGAAAAGATGAAAAAGATTCTCCAAGATGCTTGGCTGTGATAAACCTTGAGTATATCCCTGGAATACAATTTTAAATCACACTAGTATTGATCTTTGGGCAACACAGTGAGCAAGTCAAGATCAGCAAGATTTGACATGGATGAAATTTTTAGAACATTTAAATATCACTCAAATAATCTTTACTTGAAATTACTGAAAATGAAATGATCACCAGAGTCAAAGCAGGTTAAAGTAAACTGATAAGTACTGATGTGGATAGTTTTAGGGATAAAAGCTACAATCTGTGTTAAAGAAAATCAGATTACACGACATACATAACTAATGTTTTTGAAGAAGGAGTGACTGAATACTTTGCTATATATTGAAAGGATGAAGGGTCAGCATTTCTTTTTTTAATTGGCTAATTTACTGACAGAGACTCTCACTTCTGTAATATAGAGGCACCAAAGACACAGATGAACAATAATCTGATAATACTGGAGTCAAACAGGGATAGAAAAATCAGATGATGTTCTAAATCATGTCCTGTGTGCATGTAAAGATAGTAACTGACAGACAAAACAGAAGCTGAATAAATGAACACGTGGAATACTGAACCACCACGTAAAAACGACATTTATAGACCGAGGTGACATTAGTTTGAAGTTGGATATTGGATATTCGCGCTCCGCGTAGTCAGCGGCGTCTTGCTCACAGTTGATCCGATTTAGGGACTCAGACTTCGGCTCGCTCCTCTCGGCTGCATCGCCACCCAACCAGCGACATTTCACTTAGGCACCGTCAACGAATTTCTGAACCAAGAACCCTTGAGAAATCAAAATTAATACATTTTCTATTTTGTGACCTCGTGACTAAAAACCAGTGTGGATATATTCAACTGCACTGGAC